CATGGCCCTTTACGGGTGCCCAGTATGGGCGGGGGCCCTGAAGGCCAGCAACGTCGCGATACTGCGACGACCGCAGCGAATGCTGGCCATCAGGATCATAAGGGGGTACCGCACGATCTCCTTTGAGGCGGCGAGTCTCCTGGCCGGAACTCCACCATGGGACCTGGAGGCGAGAGCCCTTGCGGCTCTGTATCAGTGGCGCAAGGAGGCGCAGGAGTTGGGTCGATCCCCCGAGATTCGAGAAATCGATGACCGGAAATCCCAACTCCGCCAGGTCATCATAGGGGAGTGGAGGGAACGACTCGGGCAACCGAGCGCCGGGCACGCCGTCATTGCGGCGGTAAGACCCGTTATGGAGGATTGGCTCGAGAGGCGTCACGGGACCCTCTCATACCGATTGACGCAGGTGATCACTGGGAAGGGATGTTTCGGAGATCACCTGTGTCTGATCCGCAAGGAGCCAACGCCTGAGTGCCACCACTGCGATGGCCAGACCGTGGACACGGCTCTCCACACGCTGGCAGAGTGCCCGGCGTGGGTTGAGCAGAGGCGAGACCTCGTGGCGGCCATCGGAGTGGGAGTTCTCTCGCTCGATAGCCTGATTGCGGCTATCGTGCGGAGCGAGAGTGCGTGGAACTCTGCCGTCTCCTTCTGCGAGCAAGTTATGCTCGCGAAGGAGACGGCGGAGCGGGACCGGGAGAGGTTTAGAACTCTCCCGGCCCGCCAGGCCCGGGCACGGGCCAGGCAGCGCAGGCGACTCAGGCGCCGGAGGTCGCAGAACGACCTTCGTCCTCCATAAGCGCAGGCCTGGGGGTGACAGGTGAGGCCATCTGTCACCCTAGCAGAAGCAGGCCGGGGTGGCGGCGAGCGCGTTGCGAAGCGCGCTCGCTTTCAGGGAGCACAGGGAACATGGGGTTCCCACACGGGGCGGGGGTCGTCTACTCGTCTGTAGATGACCCGAGGTATGTCGGGGCACCAGGGCCTTCCTTTCTAGGGTATACCTGGTTCCCCGGCTATTAGTACCCGGCGAAGGCGTGCGGTTTTAGTCGGTTCGTGTCCGACATGCCACCGACAGGTGGTATCCGAGGGGGGAAAAAAAAAAAAAAAAAAAAAAAAAAAAAAAAAAAAAAAAAAAAAGGCGGTATGTAAACAATTATTTGTATTCATTTTTGTAAGATTTTTGTGAACGTTTGTTATTCGTTTGTTTGTTGTTTTGTTCATAAATTACTTTCTTTTCTTTTGCAACACTGGATCTCTTGTTTAACATCTTCTCATCTCTTTGATTAGTAGTTGTATTTAAAAAATAAGTTTATTAGGGTATCTATCTTAGGGTCGGTAAAGCTGAACATTTATTGAGGGTTACTATCATGTAATATAATTATTCCATTTTCTAAATTAAAACTGTGACCTTTCGAGTACAGTTTCTTCGAAACATGTGCTTATAAAATACGAGTATACTATAAATCGTCGAATTTAGGTTGCTTTTTTCTTTTAAGCTTGCGAAATTCTCTGCGGAACAACACTAGATACACCTTATATAACGTTCAGAAAATGTCTCTATAAAGTGATTTTCCCACATACTATAAAAGAACGGTTAACGCTAAGCTTTATATTACGTAGGCGCTTAAGGCTTTGTAGGGCATGTATTAATTATTAACATTGATATCAAAATTAGAATAGTGTTGTGTTATCATTCATGATTGAAAAACGTGTTGTACAGGATTACAGTAAAAATAAAACAAGTGCTAAAATTCCATGTCAATGAGGAGTTCACTGTAAACTTCAAACCTGTTTAAAAGTTCTAGGAGTTACAAGTCCATTAAAGTTCTTATTCTGATGTAGTGTAACAGACAGTAAATAATAAAATGCATTGTTGATTACTACTTGTAGTTATAAGGTTGTAAAAAAGCAAAAGACAGTGCTTTATATTCACATCAACAGCCTTTAGTAGTCCACTGCTGAATATAGGCCTCTTTTTAGAAAGGCGGACGCTGGCCAGACGGGTTGGTCAAGGTTTGTGTCAAGTTTTCCTTATCTTTGCAGCGATGCTTCTGTTGTCCTGCGTAGTCTCTTAGTCCGCTCTTATGACACCCACGGGAGGAATAGAGGTTGTGACATCCGTATTCTTAATCCGTCACCACACGGACGGTGCTTTATATTATCTTTTTCATTATTTTAAATATTGTTATGTTTATCCAGTCTTGGTCTCCTTAAAGTTTCAAAATTCATTTATCTTACCATATATGTATAAAATTATAGTACCGTCGTACTACGTGGGCTACTTTTTAACGTATACATAACAGAACTTCAGGAAATAGGGAAAGTTTATTTGGGACAAATTACTAGCAAAAAAAGCTTTAGGCATCAGTTAATATGTAATATTTTACTATATTTATAGTACTTATAGAATGCATTTTAAAGAAACAAAGTGTTTGAAGTTTTCTTAAACAGGCATTTATTACTTTTAAAGGGCTTTTAATGACCACGCGCATCCTCTAAATTTACAAGCGCTAACTACTTACCATCGTTTTCCACTGAAAACTAATTGACAATTGAAGTAACTATACCTACTGTTAACAGTCTATAGAAATTACAGAACAAACGATACGAAACATAATAGTAACAATAAAAAAAAACTATATCAAGTTTAAAGCACAAGCACAGTTACATGCACGACCCAACCTGCTTTACACCGCAAATCCTCTAATCATTCAATAATGCCCTAAATTACAAAGTCCAACAGTAACTATATATTTATTTTACTTACTTCGTACTCTCTTAATTAAAATGGTAAGGAAATGTTGAACGTCCAACCACGACAATGAATCAATCTTACCGACAGGTTAATATTGTAATCAACTTGGTGTTGGGTTTACAAGGGAATTGCGAAAATAAAGTCGTTTATTATGCATTTGCTCCCGTTATTAATAGCCCGTTCTTACCATTTATCATTATTTTCATCTTATTTTTAATGTTATCTTTTTTTTGTTCAACCGACCCTAAAAAAATTGCAGAAGTTTCCAAACTTTGAGAAAAATACGTAACGATGGAGTTTTTATGAGGATACTTTGTGATTATAAGCTAATATTAGGGTAATATGAGATTCTAGGGTATACCTGGTTCCCCGGCTATTAGTACCCGAGACGGCGTGCGGTTTTAATCGGTTCGAGTCCGACATACCACCGATTCCTGGTATCCGAGGGGATTTCCGCACGGAAAAAAAAAGGTTAATATGAGAAGTAGACGCTACATGACATACTCGTAATTTACTACACTACTACATTAACTTTTACTTGCGACTTTAATTTTTTAGACAGTTTTAATAATAATGGTATAAAAAATAGTTTTACTACAATGTTAATTGTAGTAACTTATTATACTTGTAGGAATTTTCAGTAGCTACTAGTAAGTCTCTCGAGTTTTGATGTTAAGCAGATTAGGCTTAGCAACGATGATCTCACGAATGAAAGTAGCTGGAAAGTGGATCTTTCCACTTCAGTTAATCATTTAAACACGTTTTTTTGTTTAATGAACTGCAAATTATTATTTTTGTGCTTAAATTTCATGATGTACCTGCATGTAGAGTCATGAACGTGTAAAATAGTTCATTGTATCATAGGTTATTTCAGTATAACAACCGAAGCTCTTAACAGTAACAGTTAAAATTATTGACCTTATTTTCAATTAAGAGCCATAAAACAAATTTCAATTTAAGCTGTTGTGTAACAGAGCTTATGCTTTTACAATTATGACTTATCTTTACAAAATGAGGGCCATTCATGCCATTTTGAAATTCACATAAGTGAGGGAAATCACGTTTGGACAATAAAGAGGTCCTTTACTGCCGCAATATTCCGCCAAAACATCGTCTTCAGCAGTATTCATAACACTTAATGTGCTATGAGGCGAAGGCATTTTGGTTGCCGTTTTGTTTTGAATATTTTAAGCGGCTAATTTATAAATGAGGCAAGGGGCTTACCATGGGAGAGCCATGCTTTGGCAGATAAGGACTATTACCCCGATGGAGTAAACAGAGCCGTATTAAGAAGTATTTACAAAAAAACTAGGTAAGGCGTGTGATTTAATTTTCTAAAACTAAATAAAGTGCCAACCTATAGACTAGCATATTAATTCTGAAAGCAAATGACCAGTAATTTCAAACTATTTAGGTGTTTCAGTAAGTCCCACCAAAAAAAGGCAAAGTTTAAAGTATGTAACGTATGTTGAAGGCTACTGCTAATTTATTATAATTAATGTTGATTGAACTTTGACTTATGATTAATCTTTTTTACGGAAAGCAATATACATCGGCTTACAGCATCTGAACACCTTCTTTGCTTATCTACTGCTTCCATGGCGCGATCTATACTGTGTACAATTTCTTTTCCGTGTAGTGACGAATTAAGAATACGGAATTTCACTATCCCAATTCAGCCCGTGGGTGTCGTAAGAGCCGACTACGGGCGCAAAACAACGAAGGACAACAGCACTACAAAAAGAAGGAAAACTTGACACAAACCATAGGGTCGTCTGGCCAGCATGGTATAGTAGGCCAAAACCTCCTTTCTAAAGAGGCCTATGTCCAGCAGCGGACTATTAAAGCCTGTTCATGATGGTTTATTTTATTTTATACCATAGTCTAGGTTCAATGTATAGGTCCCACACACGCCCTGCGGGTCCCTAACGGAGGGTATAGTGCGAAAAGCATTCCCCACGAGAAAATAAAAAAGGTCAGAGACCTTGAGATATTCTTGTGTATTTTTAATATATTGAAATAAATAAGAACTAAAACTATTTGTATTTATTTTCGTGTAGGTGTAGTAGTATTTCACGATCTTTTTGTTACATTCTTTCATCTCTATCTTTAATGCAGTACGCCAAGCTGGATTGTTAATACTTTGCCGTAGATTACACAATTTTGGAAAGCGCACGGCTGCCTTTTCGTTCGAAAATTATAATTTTATTAAAAAACCAAGAACTTTTGACAGTAGATCTGATTGTTACAACGCTTTCCTATAAGTATACACAACCCATCCTCCCATAAAACAAGTTATCATAAACGATACGCAAAAAGCAGCTTCTGTGACAATAGATGGTAATTTCTGTAAATATCCCAAAGCTATTACAAATCTGGTTATAACGTATATTCTCAATAAATATACAGCCGTTGCTTGGTCTGGGCCTGTGGTCATGTAAAGAGCTGAAACCAACCAGAAAGGTGTGAGATTCTTCAAGTCACTTATATACGCTCGCTGCACTTTCTCTGGGTGGTACACTACAGCTGCCATTGGGGCTAAAACCAACTGCTTCAGAGCTAAAATGGCAGAGTACAGAAAATAACTCTGCATCAAACTGGAAAAAGGTACAGTAGAAACCATTTTGCAAAACTCTTACAATAAGAATCGTTTCTTTTTTTATTTTCTTTTTATATTAATGTACGTGTAAACAGCCTGTTATTTAAATAAAAACCTTTATTACCGTAATACATTACATAACATATGTATGTAATCAAAAATAAAAGATATACTTCAGATCTCTCAGATAACCTTCAAACCATAGACTTCTAATTTTATATAGTTTAAATAGTTTTGGCTTTAAGCACTTTATGATTTCGTAAGGACGCTTTATGGTATATTAAGTTATTTCTTGACTTAGTCTAAATCTAGATATGTTGTATAAATTCAAAATAAAATTAAATTTTAATAAAAATATTTGAATAACAGCAGTGAAATTATTAGTAAAAGTTCTTCTTTAATATACCAGTATCATATAAATCTTTTTAATTTCTTCGCTACTGAGTTGGTAATTAAAATTGTATTTATGTGATTCTTTACATATTAAGTGCACAGATTTGCACTTAATAGAATATTCTCCAAAATCTTTATTAACTGTCTAAACTTCATTGTTTTTTTTTTCTGGATGATGGCATTTCTATGTTTAATCCACATTAACATAGTTCCATTAGTCCCGAAAGTGTAAAATCAGAAAACTGTTACTCACAGACGTAATCCCTAATGTAAATAGGAAGAAAGTAGTTCTTTTTTAACCATAAAAATGTTTACTCATTGAATATTTATTGTTTAATGCTTTTTATTAAGAAGATGCTTTGTCATACTACAGATTTTACAAGAACAGCATTAATAAGGAAATCGACATTCAATGGTTCTGTAATATTTTACACCAATTATGAGACGTTGAAGCGGTTGTAAACACTATTCAAATAAATATACATACATACGCTTACGAAGATGACCTTAAAAATGAATCTTTTTTTTATATTCGCCACACCTCAAAAAAATGCCGCTGAGCTTTCGGACCACCTCCAGACCCGCATAGGATCTTCAACATCACCTATCTCTAATGACTCTTTCAGATTGAAGCCTGACATAAACTAATAAAAAAGTACTAAGTACTGCTAAATTTAAATGCACAAAATAAAAAATCCACCCAGCTAAATATACACTAAAATCAATATCTCAACTTCCAGTCTTACATACTTTCGTTTAAATATTTATTTCTGTCTAGACAGGCAAAAACTGAATGTTTTTAGTTACAATATGATTGTGTTTGCTTCTTCTGTCATGTATGTGTAGTTGTCACAAATATTTGAAGGAGAAAAAACTACTATGCTACAAATATAATCTTACCGGAATCGAGAACAGCAAAAAAATAGTACTAGTTTTTTTGTTTTCAGCAGGCACATATTAAATAAAATTACCCGTACTTATATGTTCCCATATAATTATACAATGTATATGTATGTGCTTAATCACTAGTCCACAAATCATAAAACTAATATTAAATTAACGTGAAGACGCCTATATTGAAACCACTGAGCTCTATTCTCATCGCATATACTCGTATATTGTACTACTCGTGCAATAGAGGTCAGTGTTGCAGTGGGAGCGACTGACTCTTGACAGTTACGCTGACTGTCAAAAATCTGTGGAAGCGTCTATCGTAGAATATAATTTAGTTCATTATTAATCAATCTTATTTTTAATTGTGTTGAATTGTTAACATGTTATTAATCAGCATTGGAAAAATAAGAACAATGAAAACATAGTCAAATGAATCTCACAATAAGTTTAGACAGCCACATATCACAAACTTACATGGTTCATTCGGCTTTACTTGCGCTAAAGCTTTTAGCGCTTAGTCCATTGGCTGCAATGACCTGGGTGCGAAAAGGTCTATTCAGCCATCCCGATGACGTCAGAAGAGCGTATTTGTATGAGTTGAAAAACTTGGCACCATATTGGATTGTTGCAGGGTTCTATGTGACCACGAATCCTAAACTGGAAAATGCTATATCACTCTTTCGAATGTACACAGCGGCGCGAATGATCGTAATACTTGGTTATGCGACACATCCCTTGCCGGTTGTGTTCACAGACTTTGCTCTCGTTCTTTCTTACATTATAACATTGTATATGTCTTTGTGTGTCATTTACTGTTATCGAGGTGCTCTATAAAATCTACGAATCAAATACCAACTTGTTTGAATCAGCAGTGCAAGGACTTGGTGAATCGTTTTAAAGAACTAAATCAGAGAGGAAATTGCTTTTCAGATTGTGTTCAGTTCAATCGGGAGTGTAAGGAAACAACTGACTTTGTATTATTGATATACCCGCATCACAGTTGAATTGAAAAGAAAATGAGAATCTGTTCGCTTGAGGAAGTTTTAAAAATTAAATTTGTTGTACTAGAGAAAATTTTGCATTTGTACGGAAGCAGATAGAATGTTTTATCATTGCTAGATTGTTTAAGTAGTTAGTACTACGTCTTTTAAACTGTGTTGTGTAGGTTTAAATTTTTAAACTGTGTGAACGTTACTAAGGAATTTAATCATTATTAGTGCATTGTAGGTGCAATGTGATAAAAACATTTTTTTTTTTACATAATGTGTAAGCAAATCATTTATTAGAGGTTTTGGTGCTCTAATAGATTAAAGGTCTTTACGGAGAACAAAAGCTTCTGAATAAAAAAATAAAATCACTGCAATGAACCTGTAATGATCGAGTTACCTTACCTCCTTTTGAGAGGAGGAGGCTTCAGAAATTTCATTGACTTGATGAAAGTTAAGGAAAGAATTGCTAACATAACTTTTCTGTAAGGCTGTGTTATCACTCCAACATGGCCCTCCCACGAGTTATGGTTAAAACGATTTCAGAGTTTCTTTAATAGTTGACTAAACCAACATAGCACAATAACTCAAATCACAAACCCAATTATCACGTTATGCGGTTTCCTAATAATATTCACATTTCACAGTATGGTTATAACTACAACCTCATTATTCTCTGTTAGCTTTGTCCGAAGGTCTGTTTGCTTCAAATATTGACTAATATGTGGGTTTTAGTTAATCCATTTCAATATGTTTATATTAGTTATTGTTTTGCAAAGGAACTGTCACTTTGTTCACTCTTATAAACCCTACTTAAGCTTAAGACCCTGGCTTCACTCGTTCCTAAATAGTAGTAGTTTTGTCAAGAATTCATTTTCTTAGGTTTCCTTCGGGCACACTACTTTTATGTGGAAGTACCTTATATCCTTTTTCTTACCTCTGACTACGGATGGGCAACACTACATAATGACCGGTTTACTTGTTAAAGCATGAGAGACAAACAGATAAATTACCTTTCTCATTTATGATATTCAATTAATGACTCCGACAAAAATCTGTAGTACGTGAAATAAGTGTGTATACGCAGCTTCTAGGATAAGATTATCAGAGATATGGCCTTTATGAGAATTATCACCCTAAGTTAGTACCACACGTACGTGTCTACCACAAGGAGGAATTCGGATGTCTTAATAAAAGCTGTTCCCGGATCCCTCTTAATTTAGGTGGAGTTTGGGAGTTTGTTTGATCAGATTTGTCTAATCAGAGTCATACATAAATATGAGTGGTATGGTTTAGCGAAGAAAGAACTGTATACTTCACCTAAGAAATCCCTATTTTGTGGTTTGAAATCAATTTCGAGATTATTGTGAGATACAGTTTTTATGAAGAAGAAACCCATGCCTTTTCTTTAATATGGATTTAGCGTTTTGAGGAAACCATTAACAGAAAAATTGCCTAAAACTCTACCCTTACTCTACCAGTAGTTGTATGGCAAAGTTTAGGTTTATAATAACAAATGTTATTTTAATCATGTTTTTCTGACAAAACTTTTACAGAAATCAAAAAATTTTCACTTAGGGCAGCCTTTCACTAAACTAGTTTATTTATTAAATAGTACAGCCACCACCACAAAATGCACAGAGTTCCTTAAAACATTCTAAACTTAACATCATAGATTTTTTATATTTAAGGAACATTTGTAACCTATAATGCGTAAACCAAAAAATTTGAATAGAATCTTTGAATAGAATCTTTGATCGCATATAATTATGGGATTAACTAATATTTTGTCAGGCTATCCTGAACATTGTAATATATTTTTATAATACTTGATCCTGTCATTTCCTTACGCCCCGCTACAGTCGCAATAGGGAATATGCATGTATTTCTTTTATATTTTTAAACGATTCTACTAGTTATTACATTACCAAAAATAAATATAACACATCCGAAATATAAACTGTTAAGCAAAAAAAAAATTATTAAAATCACTATCATTTTGGGGCAATTTGAACACGTCCATTTTGGCGCGCTTTTTTTGTGACGTCAGATTACACTTTCAGACGAATTCGATGTCAACAACGGAGTGAAGTTCACAAAGTTTGTGAAAGTTAAAAAAGTGAGTGATAAAAATTAACTTATTACCATGGAAAAGCCAATAAAAACTTATTATAAATATTGTGCCGTTCCTTTGTGCCCAAATAATATCAAAACTGCACCTGACAAAGTATATTCAGTCATTGTGTTGAGTCTTTCTACACGGGAATTTAATAATTTAACACTGAAAACGTATTAGTTATTAACTTAAAATGAAACAAATAATCACCAGAAACCAAATATTACAAATACACACAACTTGTTGACACTCTTGACAGTGTAGGTTGACGTCACGTTTTATTCAACCAATAGCGTTGCGTAAATCTTAAAAAAGCCAATTTTTGATGATAAAATTTCACTATTAAATTATAATAAATTTCAAAAATAATTGTATGGGTATCTTTTTTTAGCAATAAAAATTACAAATAAAAATATTTTGTCCATTTTGGTGTCACGTGCATATTCCCTATTAGCCTGAAATGTGAGTTACGTTGTAACATGCGACATATATATTATATAAATATTTATTTATGTATTCGTCTATGTATCTTAAAAAGCATTATTAAATAAAATATTACATTTTCATAGCCTCTCTTTTTTTTACACAATCCGTGTACACCTGCCATGTCCCTTACTGAACCATCTTAAGGTTTTTATTTATATTTATTTAACTTTAACTTTATTTAATAAACATGACACTACATTCTTTGTCTTAGGTTACCTGGTAGATAATGGCATGTTGCATTAAGTCCGCCTCGTGTAAGTTGTAATGCAGGAAGTGTAAATGAATAAAATAAATAAAAACACTAACAATAGAAAGGTAGTTTCTACAAACTAATAACCAAGTATAACTATTTCAACGTTTTGGCCAAGAAAACGACCTACTACCTGTGTTTCCTGACTGACTGACTATTAACATATTATCTGTACAAATAATTTACGTTACAAACTTGAAAGAATAGGAGAGCATCGTTGCTTTGTATCTTGGCATCATATATAAATATAGATATACCTACATACTGGATAAGAGGTAAAAGAAAAATGATACACTTAATCGCCAAGTAAAAAAGAACACATCGTAAAGATTATGCTCACAATATATTAAGAAAAATGTACACAAGATTTTCTACCTGAAAAATTATTTGAAAAAACAGTAAATATCATGCATGAAAGATCCAAAACAACATCATTAATTTACAATGAATTTCTGTAATAATATACTACCGCACCACCCATGTAGCCCGTCACAAGAAAAGATACGCAAGATGCGCAATCTGTAATCTTTCTTGGTACTTGCAGCACGTAGCCCAAGGCAATCACAATTCTGGCCACGACGAACGTTCGGAGAAGAGTCAAGGCCGTAACTGGATTCGGATTTGTAGCCAAGTAAACAGCTGCTATAACCCAAAATGGTGTGAGATGTTTCAAGTCACTTACACTCGCGCGAATAGCCTTATCGGGAGTGCAAAAGGGTTGTATAGTTGATAAAGCGGCTAGGCCTAATAGTTTGAGAGCCAAAATCGCAGAGTAAAGATTGTAAGAAGACATTAATTCGCTTACACAAGCCATCGCCGCAATTTAGTAGTATATTTTTTTGTTTTATATATAATTACATACTATGTAAAATTTGACAATGTCAGTTTACAAAAAGACGTTGAGACTAAAATATCATAACAAAGAGAAATATTTTCTCTATAGAGCTACAGAACAGTCCGGAAAAATACGCGTTAAAGCCTTTTCCACATTCACCTTTTTTTACAGAGTAATATTACCACCCTAAAAAAAGAAAGTTATAAAGAAAGAGGAGAAACAGTTATAAAATTAGTTACAAGAAATAAAAATCGCATAAAGGATAATTGAACACATCAAAAACTAAATTACATACAATATAAATTTGTACATTTATCCTTGATGAGAAATTAGGAACAAAACTGTCGCGAAAAATATATTAAAACAATCTTTGAAGCAGATTGTATACCGTGTTGAAATTTCAGAGCAATCGGAGCAGAACGAATGTTTGTGTTTGTGTTTAACCGTTTGAGGTTAAACACAAACACAAACAAACTTAATATTTGTATACATATAGATTGGTATAACTTGTAATCAAATTGATGATTTAAAAAATCAAACAATAATAATTAAAAATCAAAGTAGTACCTAGCGTTTTCTAACGTCATGCTGACGACGCAATATGTAACAACGAAGTGTAAAGTAGGTACGAGTAGAACACGCGATCGGATCTAGAACATAGATTAATTGGGACCCTCGTCCGTGATTAGATTCTTTTGACGATACTGATGATGTGATAATGAATGTGTCAGACCCCTCTTTCCAATATTTAATCCTGGACCTATTCGTCTGTAGCTCTATACCCTCTATACCCATCTATGTATGTATATTTACATTGTTATTTATAATTTATTCATAAAATTTTGATTAGATCCTTCATGGTAATATCACCATCTTGTCTTAAACATTGTACGTTTAATGGGGTAGCTTGTTCCAACTCGTTACGGGATTTGAAAATGAAAACGTACATACGTGTGGCGCAGACATTTCTCTTGAGGGTTACCCAATTAATAGGTAACTATTACTTTCTAGAATAAAAAAGTTGAAATCTACATTAAATCTAGTTTATGCAGACGAACTATGACCATCTTAAATTCATGGTGCTTACATCATTCATTCATTTGAATCGACTTGATAAAGCACTTCCTTAATTTGATTCTAAAAGAAAAAGTTAAATGGTATGGTCATCATAATCATCAACAACCTTTAATAATCCACTGCTAGACATAGGCCTCTCCTTAGAAAGAAGGTTTTGGCCTACCATACTGCGCTGGCCAGACGGGTTGGAATAGGGTTTGTGTCAGGTTTTCCTTCTCTTTGCAGTGCTGTTTTTGTGCATAATTTACTCCTTTAGTCGACACTTACGACTCCTACGGGATGAATAGGGGTGATGACACTCCGTCCCTGATGACACTCCGTCACTGACTTAGTCCCTCACTACACGAATGGCACGGTTTCAACTCATTTCATGGAATAAAAGAGACATTCAAATATTATTTTTAAGACTGTACACATATCGGTCGTACCTTTTCAAGATAATCAAATAATTCTTATACAATACTCCACTCAGCAAACCCAACCATTACGAAACCTTTTTAGGGTAGAAATACTTCTACAATTACATGGGGGTCTAATGATTTCACAAGTGTTTTGCGTTTTGGAACGGCACACAATAAAGTACACCTCACTTAGGTGAGTTTTATACAGATCTATGGTTTTCAACTGGTGTTCCAACTTTTTAAATCATTACCTTTGCTAACCGATGTTATGCCTATACATTATGTAAACTGTTTCAAAATCATTTTATCTTCTTATAACGGATCTTGGTGATGTCTGAATACGGTTTTCCCCAGTGGTTCAAAAAAGGTCAATCAAGAGATTTGTGGTTAAACCTGATTTCCAATAACGTTTTGTGATAAAGAATAAAATTCACCAACTCGAGGGATGGACAATTGTATCCAAAATGGAAATTAGGGGTAAATAGGCTTTTGTGTAGTAAGTTGATAGGAATTTCTATAAAATGATTCGTTTGTTGAAAAATTCCGGCTGATTTTATGTCACGAAGAATTAATAATAATCTGAAGAAAAAATTGCAATAATAAATGTCTTTTAAGCGGGATGCGAGAAGCCGAAAATCGATCTAAGTAGCGTGCAATGGGAGAGGCCTATGTCCAGCAGTGGACTGCGATAGGCTGATGATGATACAAATTTGAAACATTTTGTTACAGTTTCATTACCACTGACTAATGAATTGCAAAAGTAGAAGGGACCTGAATTAGAATTTTATTCTTACTTGACCACTGAAGTATTTTTCTAAATAAATGTAAGTAATCTTCTAATACGAGTAGAATAAATTATAAACTTAACAAGGGCTTAAGGCTTAACTTTTGTAAAAAATGTAAATTATAAAAGAATATCCAGTCCATGTTTAAACAACGTTTAAAGTTAAATATTAAGTTGATGGAAATATATTTAGCTTTTATTTCAGAAACATTTCAGTTCTGAAGAGCTCTTACGTCATCATTCATCTTCGTTTCACAAAACCAGTGATATTTAGCAAATATAAAATTTATTACTAAATTAATTTAAACATAAATATTGATCAAAATCAATGACGATATCCACCGTTTACACAGGCCAATATTAAAAATATTACCCGAACTAAACTGTTTTTAATCTTCTATACCAATAAATAAAATTGAAGTGTCTGTTTATAATGTCAAAATAATAGGTTTTTTCATACTCATAAGTTTATTTGCTCGATAGATACGCCTAAAAACCAGTTTAAATCTGTCTGTTTGTTCCGGGTACTTATCAAAACGGCTGGACTGATTCTGGTAATATTTTACTACCAGATATTTGTCTAAACAAAGAATACCTTAGGCCTACCTTCCTCTCAGAAAAAGGCAGTATTATAATAAATACATAATTATTCCAACCATAGGCATCCCGGATATAGACATCCCTCGTAGGTTGTATATTTCTTTATAATATAATATATTACAATACTCGTATATTATATAGGTACTCTCAGTTACACCAATTTATTCTTACAGTACACTGGAGACATATTCCTTTTACACTAGAGAAGCCAGAAGCTAAGGCAAAGTATTCTAAAATAAAACTTTCTCTTTCTAGGACTATGCATATTGCCCTTTAAATCTTTTCACCAAACAGGTCGAATAGCATGTTGGATCTTACTAAAGTAATGCGTACATTAATCCGGGGCGTACTTCACATGCGGAAGGCTTAAGCCTCGGCTTCAGGAGGTTTGTAGTGGCACTCAGGAAGTTCCTTGTTTTTGTCCCTGTTGTAAATTCACCTAAAATTTGAGTTGCTTGAGTAGGCTTTGTTTCTTTTTGCATTGTCTTGAGAAAAGATTGGTACACAACAAATGTCAACTCATTTTTGTTTCTCATCTTTTTTAGGCCAAGCGCAATAACAATTAAATAAAAATAATAATAATAATAATAAAATAAATAATATAATAATAATAATAATATTATTTAATAATAATTAAAGTCCAATATTAATACCATAAGACAAAACATTGACTCTTTGTGTTTACTTAAGACCTTATGCTGTTATAAATTCTTTACTTGACATACATGACACGAATTGCTCGTCCTCGGTAACAAACGTTCTACCTTGATTGTAACACAGTAACTGATATCACTTCATAATTTCATTAGTTATACATCGGTGCACGTAGTTTGACAGTCCAATATTAAATAATGATATAATTTTTAATCATAATAGTGCGTTAATGCATTTATTCGTTTGTTTTATTAGTAAAGTTTACACTAGTGTTTAGTTAAAAGGTAAAATTATTTGATTTCTGTCATGAGAAAGATGAGTAGGTAACAAAGCTGTACGATTATTCACATAACAGAAAGTTGATTGAGTTTGGTGTCATAGTTTGTTATCTTTCTTCTGGAGTAAGTATAAAGGTTACGATTTTAGTGTAATTTATTGACAGTAGTGCATTTGTATAAATATATTTTGAATTTATTTTGATAAAAAATATCCTTTATTATTTCTAATGCTAAATACATGCCATTATGCTAAATGGGGATTTATCGGGCGATTTATCAAAACTTGGTGATGTTATGTGGTTCTTATTGCAAAAGTGGCCTCGAAACATATACAAAATACGTAAGCAAGTAAGTACGAAATATGTACCTACATAATCCTACATGAAAACAAAATGTCAAAATATATTTATTTATTATTTTTATTTTTACAAATAAAATGCACTATTGTTTGGATTCGTCATAGAACTTACACATAATTAAAAAAGTCGTCTAAATGCATCTGTACGAAGTAACCACGCACTCTTGTCTATCCAAGGTAGGACTGCGTGGGTACTTCGTTCATTTCCTTGTTTACTTTTATGGAATCCTATCTCATAAAATGTTGATGTACAAATTACCAAGATATCTGTAGACATAACGTAATCTACCTTTCTACTATGTCTATATATTCTCTTCCCTTATTCCCGAAAATTTTCGGATCATTTAAAAGTAACAAGAAGAAACTATACTGGCACAACTTTAAAAAACTGTATTTTATCTACATCTGTTGAAAGATGAAGAATACAATGAAATGAAGAATATTCTCTGAATGAATATTCTTCTCAAACATAATTTAGCCATCAGACTTAACTACGATATCAATTAAAAAGTCCAGTACCTTTTTTAGTTTCCCGACGTTTTGATCAAATTCGTTCAAACACTATTCGTTCGGTATCTAGTGAACTGTCCCAGTGTTTTTCTTTACTATTTTTTTTTATTTTAAACTGGGACTCATTTAAATATCCTTATCTGAATTTAAAATAATAACAATATTTACAAAGGAAATCACCTCGTGAATAGTTAACGAATTGAACGAATAGCGATCCAATGAACTCGGTACATATCAATTGAGTTCTGCTATAGCGTCAAAAGCTTTGCAATTGTCTGTCGTACAACAGTCAATTGAAATTGTTATCGTAGAAGTTGGAATTCATGGAGGAACACAGTAAAATCCTCAGCTCAAGACCTCTGAAGGCAATATCACTCATTTATATTTATTTTATCATTAACGTTTTTTTCTAATCCTACAGCAAAAACCTATTTCTAGACGAAAGGTTCTTTTTGTTCTAAATTACATGATAATACATCAATCATACATATCATGATACTTACGTCTCAATCCCATCTGGCAGGCAGAAGGCAGAAACCCCAATTTTCTACGAGCCATACTTACAGTCTTCTACTTTATCAAGTCTTTCATACACGCTCACCGGTACGGGTGCTGGTAACGAGGCCCGTCTTCAGTATATTGCCGATCAGGTCGGTGTACATATTTAAGTTCCTGCTCGTTGCGGGTCGCTTACTCACAGAAGCCTTATAACTTCTTTTGGTCATTCGCTCTTCGCACGTACGTGTTGTTTTTCAAGCTTCCGGTGGAGGGTCAAGCTTACGGTGGTTCGACTATACATCTACTTCATTTTATACTATGTAAAGATATTAAAAACTAATAATAATAACCTGGCATAGGCAGAAACTGTGCAATGGTAACTAGGCTGCTGATAAATTTAGAATTGAACCTACAAGCAGCCAGGATCACTTATTAAATTGTGTATGTACAATTAGTGTGAAAGCTTTCATTGCGCAATGCAGTGTAAGTAAAACTAAATAATTCAGATGAAATTTGCTAGATGGGTCTCAAGTACCAAGTGGTCTTCTCCAGATAGGCAGTATGATTGACATAAGTGCGTGTATATTAAAAGACAGTGATTGGTAATAAAAGGTTGTATTTTGAATATGGTGTTTTGCACATCTTGATCCACGCACAACTTGCTTTCAGTCATAAATTAGATATAGTTGACAACAAAGTAAATATGTTGTAATATAAGAATATACATTTCTGACTTTCAATAGTTCCTGCGTGGATTAGCGTGGCACTTAGTAACTGATCATGAAAAATTCTCATTTAGAAATGACATTGTTATTTCACAAAAATATTATCAATTGGGTTGTTTTGTGTCGATCATTTTTAAAGTTTTATACAATATTTTCAATTTTTCTTTGGCCGATCGCAATAGCTGGCATGTCACACATTTCTAAGCTCAAATAGCTGTTTTCGTTGACAGTATAATCTTTTTGAGCTTCAAGATCAAAGGTATCGGCATTGAGGCTTGCAGCTCCAAGCTCTGAGCCTAGGTCTTTTTCGCACTAAAAAGACAAAATATTAACATTAACAGTTTTGTAAATGACGAGCAAGATATGGAAAAGCTTGCTCTATTAAGCAGTGCTTATAATTTGGAGAAAATAAATAGTCTACGTTAATGGTTGGTGGTCTACCTAAACTTTACTAAAAACTATTTTAAATTTCAATTATTCCAAGATCTTTCATTGCACCGATATAGCCTTCTTTATGGTGGAATACATTCTCATGGCCTGGTTTATAACCATTTAAAAACTAGCATCATCAGCAAAAACATTACCGGAACATTACATTACATTACAACATTACATTACATTATTATACCATTCCCCATGGCGCACGCGTGTATACTCGACATCAAAGATAGGATTTCATAATACTGGTGATATGTGGAAAACCGACTACCTACCGGTACCTACTTTTTAAAGCAGTTATGTCTTCTTAAGACAAAAACCGCTACGCACATAAAACATTAAGTTTTTGTAGTCCTTTCAAGTCCATTCTATGGTTACCCTTAACTTGTCAACCTCAATTATTGACATAAAATTTTGGATCACTAACAAATGTAACGAAGGAGAAAAATGTGACACATAGGTGCCAAATGTATCGTTTTTTTCCTAGATCGGCATATTATTTTAATATAATTTCATGAAATTAAGCATATGTCACTGACATAGCCTACCGGATCACCAAGCTGAAGTGGCAATGGGCTGGCCGTATTAGCCGCAGAACCGACAACCGTTGGGGAAAACGAGTTCTTGAGTGGAGATCGCGTCTCGGCAAACGTAGTGTAGGACGCCCACAGGCCAGGTAGAGTGACGATTTGCGCAAGATGGCTGGCAGCAGCTGGATGCGAGAAGCCCAAAATCGATCTAAGTGGCGTGCAATGGGAGAGGTCTAGCAGTGGACTGCTAGAGGCTGCTGATGATGATGATGATGAAGCATATGGCTTGCTAAGACTACAGCAAAGGATTTTTTTATTCAGAAAAATAACAGTTTGTTTTTACATGGGATGGAATTACTAACAAAGACTTAGTAAATTATGAAAATTAAGCTTATGAATTGAAAAAAAAACTAAAGACTTACAGGTCCAGATTTTTCCATATTGTTTTCTGGTCTTAGGTTATAGTGTTGAGCTATGACGCACCCCAGCATTTTAATAAGCTTACAATTATTACATAATATAATTTATTAGTTATAAAGACAAAGACAATGACATATTCTGGACATTAAGAGAAGAAATAACACAGATACTCTATGAAATTCCAGAGATAATTTTTGGTAAAACTATAGAACCGCAAGAACTCACTGATATCTACTGACCTCTGATGGTAGGTTTAGATTTTTTATGTCTTCTAACTATTACTACTTGAAACTTGTTTACGATTGTTTTCTACGCCATTTATAACATATTCTTATTTTGACAAAATATTTAACTGCTATTTACATGATGACTGTTGAAAAAAGATACAGTTGTTATATAATACTCATATCAATGTCATATCAGAAGTGTTTGACAGCAAACAACTTTCTGGAATTGAAAATTACAGAAAATGGTTATTAATGGTGGCCTTAGTTATTACAAATTTATAGAGCTACTGAATTTATCTTTTCATACATATTTAAAACATTTGTGGCACTACAGTGCAACAAAAACCTACCCCAGCGCCATCTAACAAAGATACACGCATTAACGGCAATCCTGCATCGCGATATGAATAATTCTCACGCATATTAGCATGTATACAATTCGACCACATCAGCCGTTGGGCCAGGCATGAGCACCTTGCCTGGTTGGAGGATCCTTCCTTTGTGTTGGAAGGACATGACACCTGTTCCTCCACACACTCCAATCAATTTAAAATATATGTACATTTTGAAAGTAACTACAAATAAATATTTTCTTTTTATGTTCTTTACTTAAAAATCATCATCATCATCACACAGCCTTTAATAGTCCACTGCTGGACATAGGCCTCTCCTTAGAAAAGAGGTGTTGGTGTTGTGTTACTATACCTGCCTCGTTGGCTAGATGAGTTGGTACAGGGTTTGTGCCAAGTTTTCCTCCTCATCGCAGTGCAGTCCTGTAGTAGTTTGTTCTCTTAGTCGGTTCTTACGTCAGTGTAATAATATTAAATAATAATCTACCAAATTGACACAACGCCATCTAGCCCCAAACTAAGCAGAGCTTGTACTATGGGTACTAGACAACTGATATAAATACATATATACTTTTTTCGTAAATACATACATATTATACATAGAAACGCCCAGACCAAATCAAACATTAAAAGTTCATGCACACAAATGTTTGACTTGGAATCGAAACGGCGACCTTTGGAATAGCAGTCCGTTACACAAACCACTACGCCATTCGGTCGTCAACCTAGACCTAGACCTTTAATATCTTATATTAAAGGTCTAGGTCTAGGTTGACTAAATTCAAATTTATACATCTCGATTCAATTTATTTTGCCTTTGACAACAATATAGCCAGAGTTAACTTAATTGAATAGAAGAAAGGCATTCGTTTCATGTGTTGGTGGCTAAATAAAAATACATTACTGATAGTAACACACGATGACCTACAAGTATACATTCTTGAGTCTATAGAATCGTTCAAGGATTAGGGCATGAAAAGAAAAGTGAGTCTAGCTACACAGTATCTTGAACCAAACTAAATCAGCTTACGTCTTTTTTTTTTTGTTGTTTAAATCTAATAGCTTTTTCTCTCTAGGCAAAAATTGTGAATGACCGATTCATCTGAAATTACCTACTTAACTTTCTGATTGGACACATTAGGAATATTTGACTTCGTTTTCCAAAGGTTTCATCAACTTCCGATTGATAAATTAAAAATGATTACCTTTTTTAACGTACCTAAATGATGATAAAATATAATAAGCTATCCTTTTTCTTCATTTTTTAATTTCATTTCTTAGAGGAGGAACATTTTATCTTAAATTTAAATAGGACCAACCTTGAGTATAGATATTCAATTAAAAAATAATGACTGGTAATCATTTATATTTTAATCAGTTTTACGGATCGGTTCACCAATGCTTTAGAACTCGCTTAATTTACACATAAAAAAAGAAACAGTCGTATTGAGATCCTCCTTTCGGTGTCGTTAAAAACCTTCTTCGACAAGTAATAATTTAAAACTCATAAACCGACTGCAAAAGGACAATTTAAAAGTAATGCACTAAAAAGACCGAAACAGCACGAGGTCCGACACAAACATCGCCCAAATTCACGACACCAAAAACTTTTTAAACCATTTATATATATATATATATATTTTTGTAATCCCCTTCTAATTTTCTTGACTTTGATACTCTACTCCATAGGTTTGGTTAATTTTATTATCCTATTATCAATTTGCGCAAAAAATCCGCCTTTTTTCTTCAAAAAGCTATCTATGGACTCTTGGGTTTTTGAGACGGATAAACACTTACAAGTTAACTGTTGAAATCCATCCAGCCAAACAAAAATACAAGATAAAACGGGGGAAAACATAACCCTTTCTTGGCAGTAAAGGTAATTAAAGGAATCCTATTACTAAATATGAAGATTGCACTAAGTAGGAAACCAAAAAAAATAGTCATGGACCTTTTTTTATGTGATCAAAATACAAACCTACTCTTCTTCTTACCCTTAACAATTAGCAAAAACATTTCTTTTGTATTATGGCTCCGGTTCCGATTCCGATTCTGATTTCAAAGTGATCACTTAGGAAAAACGGCAAAAAATATCGAGAAACGATTTCTGATATAAACGAACTATTTATATGTACGGTACTCTCAGTGCGTGAGTCAGACACGTCATTATCTAGATTTATTTTGTATAATCCTGTATATCAAGTAGGGAGTACTAAGTATATAATATTCTGAGATGTTTTTGCAAAATTGGTATTTACTTGATCCGTAGACACAACTGGTCGTTTCTTCATTTTATGCATGTGCTCAAGAATTTTATGCAACAACTAGTCTGCCTATTTGAAAAATAAATTATTATAAATATAGATATGTTTATAATTTATTTATTACTAATTTAGTTTCTACTAATTACTAGATTCCATATCCAAGCAGTTTTTTCTCTTTATGTTGTGTATTTTAATTCGATACAGATTTCAACTATAGGTCACAACAAAACGATCCTAGATAAATTAAACTATTAGAAAATTTAAATTGTCTAGAAATAAAGAGGGACCCGTACATTTGTAAACTTAAAATGCTTATACTTCGCCTCTTCTTTTAAAACTTACAAAAAATAGGTACATACAAGTAACGTAGGTATTCTCGCGGAAGAGAAAACCTCAATTTAAAGCGGTAAATTTGATTATGATAAAGGGCAAAGGTAACCTTCCTTTGTGTTTATTTATTTGCCCAAATTAGTCACTTAATATAACTCTCATTGTATCATGTTGTAGACACAAGAAGTCACGAGCAAAGTATATCTAGTGTTATACAAAACAGATTGGATAATATTCTGGTTGCCTTACTTTCAAATGATCTATTTTTAGCTAGCTTTGCCGACGGTATCTAACTCGCAGGCACAAACACTTTCTTCGTGTAGAAGGTACCCTATTTTGTTTTCTGTGCCGCTGACAACGTGTGTGCAAAACTTTCATAATGATAGCTTGAGTAGTTAAGCTCTAAAAGTGTTACAAACAAACACAATTATAATTTTCATTTAAAATAATAACATTTTGGAAAAAAATCGACATTAAGCATATAGAATAATAATAAATTATAATGCCAGTATTTTGTCTAGTTTTTTCATACAATATGAGATTTAATACAAATTTTAAAATGTTCCTTACTAAGTTAGATCTTTATCCCAGTAGCGAGCAGGTCCAGCAGTAATCCAGGGCCATGTTATATCATACGAACGAAGTTTTGCATGAAGAACCTGGTAAAAGCAAGTCGTTTTAGGAATGGGTCTTTATTTAAAGCTTTAAAGACAGTTTGTGTCCTTAACACTACAAACATTGTTACCCCAAAAGTTTCACAAGCGATACCTCTGTGGTCATAAGCGGTGACAGACTTCCGGATCTACTTTTCACCAGAAAATTGAGATGTAATCGCATCAAATTCCATTTTAAGGTCCGCTGAACACAAACTGAAAGCCGCGGATTTAATTACATCCCGACCGAGGGGAGTTTTAAATACTATCTTAGATACTATAAGTAGTAGTATTTAATTAGTTGTAAAAGTCAGGATGATTTGTAGGTAATTCAATTTTGATCCACGAACATAATGTTGTGGGGTTATATTACATAGCGTTATCTGGATCTTAACTAAGTGGAGCTTGTATTTTCACTTTGGATTCCGGATAATGTCTTTGTAAATTACGAATTTCTAGGTAATAATTTTTAAACGAGAACAGTTTTCTTGTAAGCAAGTAAGCAGACACTAATGATGAACTGAACAAAAATTAAATTGACGTAACCTAATACACGGAGGGAACGCCGCTTCGTTTATCTGCTTGGCTAACGTCCTGTTCATCCGATCGTTACGAAATTAAATACTAAAAAGGCAAGGGATGCAGTATATGGATGGGATGATTATAAGCTAGAAGCTAGCAACACTGTTATTTTAGAACACTCTTTTTCTATTTACCCCTTCCTACACTATTTGTAAAAAGCACTGTGAGTATCCAACACAGACCATTTTTACCAGAAGTCTCCGCAAAACGCAATATCCTTGTTCTTGTCTCAAATTTTCAATTTATTAGGACCTAACTTACTCAAAAGCTATTAAAGGTGCAATAGGGTACTTTCCAGTTTCCCAGTGACCTTTCAAGACCAGAAGGTAAATTTTCTTTTAGAAATTGTTAAAATTTCTAGGTAATGTTATAGGAAATGTGCAAATATTTCACCTCACCTTCAGCACTAAAATACTTATCGGGCTGCTAAACACTGAATTTTTTAAAGGACTTTTCTCTCTTAGAGATTTTTTTAGGTTTATTAATACTCAATTTCGGTGTTCAGGGCATTTGCCCCCTTAGTTGAACTCTGTTTAAAAAATATGCCCAGAACACTTCAATTAATGAATTCACAACCGGCTCAGAGATCAGTTCAGTTGACAAGAAGCCGACAAGGTTCTCATTAAATTAAATTTTGAGTTAATTAATCAATGACGTAAGCTTAA